GGCTCTCTCTCCCCCTCTCTGTCTGTTCACGTGTCAGGCCATTAAAGCTCTCCTGGATAGAAAATAAACAGGAAATGGCAGTATGGATTTCACTCATTAAAAACGCACACACCCCGACACACACACACAAGGTCTCTAACTCTCCAAACCGCACACTAAGGGCTGAGAGTGTGCTGGTGACGGAGGTCTTTTACAGAATGGCAGCACGGCTGTTTGATCTGGCACCTGTGAGACAGGAGGCTGGGTCCCAGATCTGAACCCTGGGCCCGGGTGGTGTGCAGGGGCAGGGCGGAGGGGTGGCTCCTGTCCATGGTACTGAAACGACACCCGTACACGGGGACCTGTTCTCCCTATGCCAGGACACTGGTTATGACTCTGACTTCTCCCTTTCCTTAAAAACAAAGGGAAAAGCTCTATATGTGGCAAATTTTCCAGTTTTTATGACCTCTCATAATAAATACAAACTGATATTAAAGACACGCTGTAGTCTGCTCTGACCTCAGCCCCGTGGAGGAGGCTGGTGCTCGTTGGCGCAGGACTTTGCTGCTGGACTGGTCTTCGCCTGGATGTCCCCCACACAGAGCTGCCAAGAGGACTCGGATGGAGTCGGGACCCCAGCCCATCCCTCCCGGAACCCCAATGAATGAACATCAGCAAATGAACAGCTCCAGGAGTGACTCAGGCTTCTTGCAGTAGAAATGGAAAAGGCCATTTATCACCCACATCTTCAATACCGAAAATGTCAGCATATGTAACCAAAGGAAATGTTTTCTCAGTGTCTTAAAAGAAAATTCGTATTATTAACCACAGACAGTTCGCTTTCTAAAGGAAAGCATAGGAAGTCACCAAACAAACTTTTGTAACTGTGAAAGGGTTTCTCTTCAGCTGCTTGGGACCCTTCTGGAGCCTGGAATGAGCCAGACAATACTCAGCTCTTTGTCTCATCACCAAAGTCTCTCTTCATGATCCAGTAAGTGTCTATTGAAATAAATAACCCTAATGACTCTATGTAAACTCATCCAGAAAACTGAAGCAAAGGTGGCTAACTAGGAGGTGGATGCGTCAAGAGCTTCAGTAAACCCCAGCCGGGGGACCCTGAACCCAAGCCCAGGCTGGTGCTGGGCACTGGCCACAGTTTAAGGTTATCATGTGATGCCTGGAACTCAGGCGTCCAACTGATCTGCTGCTTTTTTATCATAACACTGTCTTGACAGGGGACCAGTTTTAAGCTGTCCCTGGGCTACCTGACGGATGTCTCTCACTGTTTTACAGATGTGTTCAAAAAGACTGAGTCTGTCATTGAGCGTAATGGAGATTTTATTTCAGAGCAACTCTTAACCTTTGACGCAGGGGCCTGAGTCAAGGAGATACACAGACACACAGGAGATCACGGAGAGTTAGGAGGTCTCCACATAAACATGCAGCCATGCACACTGGGCATGGGCATCTGCAAAAGCATTCATGGCTGTCAAAAGAATGATGTGGAGTCTTTAACTCTCCTCTTGAGTACTAGAAATAGCATTAACAGCAAAGCACTGTGATGAGGAGGAGGGAAGAAGAGAGAGGAGAGAGAGAGAAAGAAAGAAAAAGGACAAAGAAAAAGAGAAAGGAAGAAAAGATTTCAGTGGCATCCTTCTAAGAAATAGAAAATAATACTAAAATTCATATGGAAACACAAAAGAAAAATGAAAAAGAAAACAGCAACAAAAAACCAAACAGCCAAAGCAATACTGAGAAAGAAAAAAAAAAATCACACTAAAATTATATTGCAAAGCTAGAGTAATCACAATGGTATGGTACTACATTAAAGCAAGTAGGCAAACACAGACCAATGGAACAGAGTGCCCAGAAATAATCCAAGCACAAATGGTCAAGCAACTCCCAACAGGGCATCAAGAAGACACAGGGGAAAGAAAGTCTCTTGGATAAATGGTGCTGGGAAGCTGGATTTCCACTTGCAAAAAAAGGAAACTGCCCCTTATCCTACAGTCTTCTACCATGCACAAAAATCAAGTCAAAATGGATAAAATACCCAAACATATGGGCAGAAACTATATACACTCCTAGGAGAGAACACAGGAAAAGCTCTTTCACAGTGACCTTGACAAGGGTTCTTTTTCTTGAGACAGGGTCTCGCTAGGTAGCCCTAGCTGGCCTTGAACTCATGGTGATCCTCCTGCCTCAGCCTCCACCCTGGAGGACTGTGGTGGGAACACCCCAGGAGGCTGTCCTTGCCCCCCTGGCTGGCCACCTCCAGGTCCCAGGAGACAGCAGCAGCTGGAAAGGAGTGGGGCAGGAACCCTAGAGAACTGCAGCAAGCAGGACAGAGGAGAGAGGCTGTGCGGGACACGGGGCCACCCAGCACGCTGGGCACGACTGCACGCGGGTGGCAGTGACACGCAGTGTCCTGTGCACACTGGCAGATGACACCTGAGGGTCCTCACTCCTACTCAATGGCAGCAGGCACTGGCTACAGTGTCATCCGATCCCGAGAGCAACATCCAGATATTTATTCTGCAGGAAGGAAGACAATGCTCTGGACCATAGCAAGCTGAGTCTCCGCGGCTCACCTGACCCTGAGTCAGAAGGGAAGGGAGCACACACTGCGAAGCATGCACCAGCTCATCCTTCCCTCCTATTCAGTCCCCCACTTTCCTCCCGAGGGAAGAGCACAGAAGGTCCTGCCGAGCCATAGGAGGGGTCTCGGCCCCTCACGCGCCTGTAGACAGGACTCAGCACATGCGCCAGCCGGGTGTGGCTGCCCTGCTCCTTTCTGCTCTAGCCTGCTGCAGTTCATATGGGCTCCTAATCACATGCCTCACTCACTAGACCTCTGCGAGAATCAAGTCTCTGAGAGGCATTCCCCCCTCAGTCACCCAGGAAAACAGAGGGAGGGAAGGGGGTGGAGGGGAGGAGAGGAAGGCTTTGTTCCGAGGTGAGGTCCCCTCGGGAGAGATGCACACCCTGCAGTTACCTGCACAAGGTGCCCAGTCACGGGCAGAATTCCCAAGGCCACCTGCACCTGCACCCTGCTGCCCAGACAAGGGCGTGAGTATCTTATCCCGGCTGCCTTCAAAGCTCTCAGGCAAGCTCATTTGTGTGGCATCACCATTTCTGAAAACCATGCACCCGCCTTGCTTATCCAGTGGCTATTCCAATAGAGTTCCCGCTGACCAAGGAGAACGAGACCTCCGAGCCAATGAGAAGACAGGCTTCCTGGGCTCTCGCCCATGCAGGTTCAGTCTCACCCTGCAGCATTCTCATTCCCAGAGCAAAATTTTCCTTCAGATTCTACAAAATCCAAGCCACCCATTTCTTGGGGAGGCATCAAAAAACATGCTCCTGCCAACTGGCAGGCAGGGCTTCAATCAGCCACCTGAACTGTGCTGGGGAGCGGAGCCATCGCTAATTCCAGCGCCTCCGTGCCAAGTGCCTGGGAGGATCACAGGCATTTGGGATTGAGTTCTCAGACTGTGGTCTTCAGCGTTCCTTGAAAGATGCTCATAAAAGAAGGATGAGGCGAAACTTTTGATATTTACATCAAGTCGTGGCGAAGGGGCAGGTTCGCAAAACCAATTGTGCGGCTTTTACACTCGCTGCACATTTGCCACATATGTCCTTTATTACACAGTGGAAAACCATTAAATGCACAGTAGTTTTGCCAAGTGGCATTATGCATTTAACAGCTTTATTCATTTAACAGCTCCAACTCTCATTATATTTGGCCATGTGGTACATGGGATTTTATACATTTAACAGTTTAAGAAGGCTCCATGGTATTTTCTTTTCATGTGTTTCATACTAGGGTTGGACATCGTATCTTAGCAAGCTGTGTTTCACTGATTTCATTGATGGAGAGAGTCGGAGTCATCTGGGAAAATGACTACACGAAATCGAGAAGGAAAACACTGCAACCCTCTTCAAAATGTCTTGATATTCTTCTCCTTTCCCTGTATTAACATCTGCAAATAACTGAGGTCAGGTTGCTATACTGGCACAGGTGAAAAAGCTAGGCCCACAGCAGCCTAACCCCCCTAGATGCACTTCATCACTGGGAGGCTCACTTTCTACTGAAAACCTTCTTGCCTAGTAGCACCGTGGTGCTGAGGAGCACTTCCCGTGCCCCACACCAGAAGACCTGTTCGGGAGAGAACCGGCCACTCCCCAGCTCCACGCAGGGCTGCGAGGATGTCAACCAGGCAGTCACACAGGGTTATCGAGTTCAAAACCCAACTGCTCTCCCAGTTATGTTTTAACCAACTTTTGTGTTCTCCAGAGTGCCTTCAGGGTTTATCTTAGGGCCCGGACACAACTCCTGCTCACAGGCGCCTATGATTCAGCTGCCAGTTGTCCCTTTAAACAAACGAAAGCAGAGAGCAGGTCCCATCCACTGTCGCTGTTCAGAAATAAAAACCGAAGCATCTGTCTGCTCCTCTCCCTGGAGCTTTCCACTCCTCACCATCCCGACAATCTCAACATTTTTACTGGATGAGCTTCCATGTTTTTCTGTTAAAAGATTTTAACACTGACTCTGGATCCCCCACGTGTGTTTCCTACCGGGAAAACAACTGCTCCCTGAACAGGAAAGAAACACCTGACAGCGGCGATTTGCCCTAGGCTGGATGGGGTCAGGACAGCCCCGAGCCGTGGGTGCTGAGGCTGAGCCAGGCTTGGGAGGTGCACATATCTGTCGGCCAAGCCCCTGGGAGGAGACGGGAGTGGAAAGTGGCCCAGAAGGCCCACAGCAGTGCTCAGAGTACGGGGAGGGTCAGTCAAGGTTGGGTCGTTTTAAAAATAGTTCTTCAAAAGGAAAACCCAGGCTTTGCCTTGGTATCTCTGTTGAACTCCAGCGGAAGAGAAGCCCAAGGTAGACTGAGGCAGGGCCCGGGATGATTGCTGTTATTGTTATTAAGGAACAGATGTGTTTTTATTGGTGAGAGGAGGAGGAGGAGGAGGGTCTCATTCCAGCCCTTGACTTCACTCCTTTAAAAACTACTCACCTGACTTTTATTTGCAGCCACTTTGGCAAACAGGGCTTGAGACACCTTGGCCCTTTTCATCTCCTGTTGGATCTCATCATAAATGGCAGCTGTGATGTTGACGTTGGCACCGTCCACCTTAATAGGGAGGTCTGCTGTCGGCGTCGAGGTTTTGGCCTACCAAGAGACCATGAAAATAATAATTTAAAAAGTGCTGCATTCAGCCCAGCCATCTGTGCAGAAATTATCAAAGGACTTCAGTCAGCTGATGCCAAGCTGCATTCGATACAGAGGGACACTTCCTGTCCATTATTCTAATCAGGTTAATTGTGGCTGGAAATAATCACGGTGTGTTCCTATAGGACCCGCAGAGCCCCACTGACCCTGTGCACTCCCTCCCACTGCTGGTCCAAGTGGCTCCCAGGTGGGTGGGCACCCTGGGCACCCAGCTGCCCGCAGTCAGAGGTGCAGGGTGCACACAGCCTTTCTGTCTGAAAGTGGCATACCTTGCAGGAAGCACCAATTCTTCCAGAAAAAATGAGTAAATGGGTAGAGGTCTCTAAATAATAAATTATTACTCAATTTAACACACTCCCCAGAGTCGTTCTCATTCTTTATTAAAGCTTTACGTATGTCATTTGAGTATGTGTGGGTCCCAGCGTTATCATCATTATGCTACCCAGACAGTCACCTAATTTCACCTAGGAAATCAGTGAAAATGAAACAAAATTTCATTTCATGAAACTCGGCTTCAGAATGCCTGTGATGTCCCGTTTTCATTTCCTTAAACTCATATTGCAGTTTTATGTATTCTGCCACGTGCGTTTTAATTGAATGATTTCCCATCAGCTTCAGAGACGAATGAAGGACAACTCAGCAGGCATCTGCGCTTCCGGGGGTGAGGAGAACCCTAAACATCTGAGTCCACTCGATCCCAGAGACTCTCGGGTGTGCTGGGCCCTGGTCCTGCTCGTGCCCAGGGAGCGGGGCTGGGGGCGCTCAGGGCTCACTGCCACCGAATGGCCTCATTCACGAGAGGGTCCCGGAGAGGGCGCTGTCTGCAGTGCTGTCCCCGGACCATGGCACGCAGGGCTGGAGGAAGGCACGGCGGGCTCGGCCCAGGCCCCACGGGCGCTCAGCTGTTCTCCAAGCATAGCTGAATTGGGGGGAGTATGATCAAGAGGAGACCTGCACGGGCCAGGCACTCTAGGAAGTGCTTGAACTTCTATCTCATTCTTGTAAGCATCCAACAAGGTAGGAAACATCAGTCCCTTTTGCAGACAAACAAACCGGGGATAAAGAGGATGCTCAGCTGGATCTGGGAGGGAAGGCGCCCTGCCCTGAGCTCGGTGGGTCCCGGGATGCCGGCTCGCCAGGCCTCCAGCTCACGGGCTGCGGCATCTACAGGGTCCTCTTGCCTGCTACCTCGGCCTTCCGTCATGACCCCATCCACGCTGTCTTCAGGAAATACTTTCTTCCCCAAAAGTCTAACCCGCAGTGCGTTCCCCTAAGCGAATGTTTTCACAAATGATTCTTCCCTTTCTCAACTGTTTCCACCAGCACCTCCGACTGTTTCCTCCTCCTCCTCCCCTGGGCAGATGTTTCTGAACCCCGAGGGCCAGACCAAAAGCCCTTTGGAACCACACCAGGTGGTCAGGAGTCCAGTTCTGGAGTCAGAGCAACTGGCATTCAAAGCCAGCTGTGCCATTCACCCCCCCCCCAGAGACCTCTGGGAGCTCTTTAACTCCTACAGATACACCTGTTTTCTCACTGGCACAGCGGGGAGAGAGTCACAGGACAGCGACGGAAGAACTCACGACAGGATACCTGACACGAGGAGTGTTCAGGGACTGCTCTGGTTCGGTGTGGTCACTGTTACTACAAGCACCCTGAGCACTACAGGGAGCCCAGAGCCACAAGAAGAGAATGGAGGCCGAGCTTCCGATGCGGTGCTTCAGTTTGTCACTAAGCACACCAGAGCACTGGCAGGGTCCGGGTGTGGCTGCCAGTGTGCTGTCTCACTCACAGGGCGCCTCTCTGCACCCAGGCCCAGCTACAGAGCCATCCGGGAGAATTCTGAGCCAGTAGGTGTTCATGAATGTTTTCACACCTTAATGACCCCTTCCTGGACTTGTGCCCATCGGACCAAGAACACTGCGCAGAATGTACGTGCACGTGCACTGTCCCAACTGTACTCTCAAACACATGCTGAGTGTCTCATATTTATTTTCAGAAATCTCAAAACTGTTAGATGATCGACAGTTTCCTGCACTCATCCCCAGAGGGAATCCTTGTCTAAGAATCTTTAAAATGGGATTCCGTTCAAGCAAGCAAACTACTGGCCCTAGGTGTGTGGCCTTGAAGTTGGTCAGGCTCAGAAAACCGTTAGGTCCTTGGAGAGGTACCTGGGAAAAAACAGTGCTAGAAAAACACTGCAAAGGAGCTGGAAACAAAACACACAGAGCTGGGCTGCTTCCGAACAAGCAGAAGGGCCTTTGTCGGAAGGGCAGGGCTGGGATCGCCAATAACGGTTTCACGGACTTCAAAAGTGGCAAAAGTACAGGTCAATTTAATAGAAGTAAATATTAGCACAAATTAACAACTTGCCCAATAGCTCAGTATGTATGCCCCAACACTGCAAAAACAAGCAAAAGGGTTTGACTGTGTATGTCCAAAGCAAGCAGTCAAGAGAACTATTTTTGGTTTAACAGTAACCAAAGCTCAAAATTTACTAAAGACTAAAGTGAAGGTTGTACAAGTTGGCAGTGCACAACAGAAAGTGATCTTCAATTAAAAATCTAATGCAGAGTGCAAAAATATAAAAACGAGTCAAGATGTGTGAGAAAACTGATATGCTTTAAAATGCTCAAATATTCCAACTAGAATGAAATTTTGGTTCTATGCTTAATCAACTCCTTGGAATTTATCAGAAGACAAACTAAAGCAAAACTACAGTACCCGAGAACTGCCTCTGGGTTGGAAATGCCCGGCTCTGAGTTTTACCCAGATGCGGATGTGTTAAGCAGTTTGGGGAGCTGCCCTCCAAATCTGTAACCCCTCAGAACAGTGAATGAGAAGGCTCGATGAGAAGTGAACCGAGAGGCAGAAGTTCAGGGCACCAGGAGGTCAGGACGTGGGGCTCAGATCTGAATTGGAAAAGCCTGGCTGCCCCTTGGAAGCTCGGTGCGCATTGCCTGCGTCCAGCTGTGAGTGCTGCAGGAGGCCTTCCACAGGGCCAGAGGAAGGTGGGAGGCCAGCCACGCCCAGGAGGGCGGCACCTGGGCGAAGCTGACTGCAGCTACCTTTCCACTAGCACTGTCCACTACCACTGTCGGAGGCTGCAAAGCGGTGCCCTGATCGCCTGATCCACCCAGAGTCTGCGCCCGCAGCATGCACAGGGCTACCCTCGTCTTTGGAACTGCATAAAGCAGAACGTGGATGACTGTGTTCCCCGCTCCAGGCCCCAGTTGGCCCCTACCACCCAGATGCACACACCATTCACTGGAGCACAGTGCTCTCCCTGCGCAACTCGATTTCCACTCCAGCTGCCTCCCTTTCTCCTAAGCAAGGAGGAACTTGGGGGTCCTGAGCCACTCCCACACTCCCGGCCTCCCCCTCCCTTCCTGAGTGCTGGCAGGGGCCTAACACACAGAAGGGCCATCACTGGGGGCCGGAGGCCGGGCCTCTCACCAATTTGTCTGTGGGCTAGGAAATCCTTGAATCGCGTCTCTTGGTTTTCAAGAGTCCACAGCGCTGTGAAGCCAGAGGCATCCGGGTGCAAAGGCAGCGGCAGACAGCTCACCTGCGAGGTTCGAGAGGAGCTGGGGCTGCTGGAAGCCGAGGAAACCATGCTCACGTTGGGGTTCATGCTGCGCTCGCGCTCGTCCTGGTAGATGCGGTCCCGTTCCACCTCGGGCAGGTTGAGGAAGTTCTGCATGGCCCGCAGGTTCACGAGCAGGGACTGAGAGGCCGTCCTGGGGTCCTCCTCCTTGCGCAGGATCTCGGACAGCAGCCCCTGTGCAGTGGGAACAGACCAAGCAGGCCAGTTAGCCTTTTGGTGTGTGCACCTGGCTGCCAGCCCCGCCTCATGCCTCTCTGGGGTGACAGCCTGGTCCGTCAGGAACCCCAGGCCACTCCCTAGGACTCTCCAGCAGAAAGATCCTGCGGGTGCCTGCCCCCCGCTGGCCCGAGTTTGGGGACCATTCCATCTCGACACTATCACCCCTGCAGTAATCATCAGCGTTCAGATGCCAGCTAGCAAGGTAGGCGCTGGGGAAGAATTACGAAGCTGCAATTACTACCAGGTGCCTCCTGCAAGTATTTCAGGAGCTGTTAGAACTCTCTCTGCTTGAAACTGGGAACACTTGGCAGTCCCGCTCAGCTTTACAAATCTGCCAAGTTTGGTAAATTTAGTTCCGACATTTAAACAGTATGGGAGATTTACATCGATTTAAAAAAAAAAGTTTGGCTGAATTTTTGTGCGACTGGCCACTGGTTTCATTATAGATGTTTCTCATGGCAGAACAAAAGACAAGGTGAATAGCTGTACCTGGAGTTACACTGGGAGGACTTCCGGACACTCCACAGCACAGCTACCTGTGCGAGGGGCCCGGACAGCCCAAGCCCACCACCCTGCAGGGAGGAGCCGGAGCTGCTGCTGCTACAGCGCAGAGAATGAGGTGGGCTCAGCTCCTGCTCCTGCTCAGATATGTGACTCGCCCCACAGCAAGCCCCAGAGAGGAAATGAGTGTTTTTGGGAGCTCTAATGACAGAGAACGCATAAAGAAAAATAAAATGTTGCCAAGACTGAAGTGGCAGTGACTCCAGGAAAGAGCAGGAGACCCAAGTGGGGAAGCGCAGCACCCTGCACACCGGCCGGATTCTCACCCAGGGGCCACTCTGCTCCCAGCCCATGCCCATCCTGGGCAGGAGGAGAACGGGTTTAGGACCAGCCCCGGGAGGAGCTGAGATGCCAATCCCGAATCTCAGGGCAGGCGGGGCCAAAAAGTCACTTCTGTGAGCTGTGGGAAAATGGTACAGTGCCAGAGGCGCTGCTGCGAGGAGAGCTAAGGAAAGGAAAGGCGGCCCTGGCTGATTCCTAACACATGGCTTACGGTGAAAGGGCACTGCATGCCAGAGGAGCACACAAGCCCTGGCTGTCCAGAAATGTGCAGGGTAAGGCGGCATCTTTAAAGGAAATGACACACTGGAATACTGAGGAGGCTGCCGCTGCCTCCAGGAGTGTGCAGCACCCCAAGGAAGACACCGCAGAGGACACATTCACTGTGAGGCCCAGGGGTGGGCCATGCACCTGGGAGCACCCCTGAGGCCTGGGCGTGATAGATCCTAATGAATGCTGGCTGGAAATGTGTATATGGCCAGGCTAGTGAGCACTGCGTGTGAGTGTGTCTGTGCGTGTGCATGTGTCTGCGTGTGCGTGCACGCGCGCCCGGATATGCTTGAGGGAAGAGCACGGCAGGATGTATGTGTATAAATATCTCACAGGTAAAACTCTTCTAAGAAAAATCCAGATTTCTTATGCTTTTAGAAGCAACAAGTGAGACATTTGTCTTCCATAAAGTATTATGCAATCCATATATTGATTCTCTTTTCTGAAATTAAAAGTCAGTTCTGCTTTAAGTTACCCTATCATCTACTTGCATTGAGCAACCTGAAATACTCATAATGGACTTGCTCTAAAGATGAAAAAACCCTACAGGTGAAGAATCAAGCAGGAAGTGGTTTTACATTGCTAGCAATTTCCACTATCGGTTTAACACTAAAATTGACATTTTTTGAGTTTTCTTTAATGAGGAGCCATGCATAAAAAGAATAAATTGGTCTTAAAATATTTCCAAATACTACAATTTCAAGTTTTAGGATCAACATGAACGTGTATTCTGATAGTTCTTATGAGTATCACTCAGGATATCTCAAAAGCAAAAGTGAAGTTATTTTCATGTAGTGCAACCAAGATTCTACACACAAAGTACTGATGTAACCACTGTTTAAAAGGACCACAGCTTGAAACTATAAGTTCACTGATTCCAAAGGATCATTCAAGAGCACAGAATATTTTGATTCCCTTTGTTTCCTACTGTCTTTCACTCTGGAACTGTACAGACCCGTCCTCTGCATTTTTAACACGATGGACAGCCTTACAGGAAATTGGTCCACTTCTACGGAAAATGCAGAAAAGCCCCCTTGAATGGACTGATGGGAAGGAGACGTGGAGGAATAGCTGCTGCCTGAGATTCATTTGCCTAATTGAAGTCTCGGCCCAACAAGGTGGCCAGCACCGCCTCCACAGATTGCCTCCGGAGAATGAGAACACTGCTCCAAATTATTTAAACTCTCCTCTGTGGCACCTGTGATCCCAGAGTGCGTCCTCTCAATAACAAGTGGCTAATTGCAGGTCTGGGAAGAGCTATGAGGATGTCAGTCTTTATCTCTTTGCTTATTTGATGTGCTTTTAATGTTCTTAAACTAGGACTTTTAAAAAATGGAGTCCCGCTTCTGCAGGCTCATCCATGTGAAGTAAATTTATTTAGTTGAAAACCATCAGAGGGGGGAAAAAATCACAAGGAAACCTATAGCATAACTCATACACCACACATCAGTCCATCTCATTATCAAGATAAGTAAATGTTTATCATATTGCAACTGTCTTAGAAGGAGCATAAATTAATAATTTATCTCACATAAATGTTTCTAAAGCCCTTGCCACTCTGTCAGCTGGCATTTTAATTATCCACCGGCCAGGCAGGAGGTGTCACTTGGACAAGGCCATCATGCAGCCCGAGATACGGGGAGCATGGCACAGCACCTGGGCACTGGGAAGAAAGACGCGCGTTTGTGAACAGAAAGGTCATGAATATGGAGAAGGAAATTAATAAATTAACCAGGATATTGCTTATTAAACTTTCATACCAATAATCATATTAAAGCGTATCTCGAGGATTGGTAAAGCGGTCAGTAAGGATTTTCCTCATTGAAGGCAATAGAGCCCTCTCCAGGGAGACGTTGTGACCACCACTGCCGAGTATGGCCAGGGTGTCAGGAGCAGGGCCTGCGGGAGGCCTGGCTGTGGAGAGGCCTGCACAACAGCCCTGGGGGACGGGTGCCGGACACTTCTGGGGTCTCAGGGAGGACAGCCTCAGACTGGTCTTCCTCCTACCACCGGGGCATTGGGGAGCTTCAGAGCCCTTCCAGCACAGCAAAGGACACCTAAGTTTGCTGGAAAATGTGCAAAAAACAACCTAATCCCGGGTGCAAACTGTGAGGCAGCAATACAAGGCTATCCAGCTTGCTGGATGAGGCCAGTGGTGGCGGGCCCATGGCACTCGTGCCGAGGCAGGCTTTTTGAGTCACTGAAAGCTCTAAAGGTGTCATCACTGATACAGGCTATTTCTACACATGAAACAAATAAGATGGGTAAGTTTTAAAATGTAAAAAACCCTCACATCCGTATTTTCCCTAGTGTTTTTAGATAAGCAAGATTTCTTCGTAATGAATTAAACAACCTTGAGTTTCTGAATCTGCACTTTCTGGTGATGAGCTTTTGATTGCTGCACTTCTTCAGCAACGCATACAGCTTGCCCCAAACTGTGTGTCCGCACAGTACATGGTGATCCTCAGAAAACCCGGGGAAATTCCCATGCCCAATTAACTTCCAGGTGTCTGCACACCTTGCCACCCTGTCCGTTCGGGATAAACTCCTCCGAGGAGCCGCTGGGTCTGCAAGAGACCAGCAAGGGTCACAACTCACCCATGCAGGGTTTCAGGGACACAGATCCAAGCCACTCACCTGCCAGGCCCCTCCGGCAGAGTTAGATTTTAACTGACTACTTTTTTTCCTGGACCCTCAACTTTTGGAACCTCACAGGATCTGGCTGTATCTCTTCACGGGAAGTCTGAGGCCCTAAACCAGGGGTGGCGAACCTTTCAGAACTTTCAATGATACAAACAGCCTGCTGTGGCACGCGTGCCACAGGTTCGCCACCACTGAGCCAATCGGTCTCTCCCACCGGTTATAAGGGGAACCCTCCGGTTCCATGCAGATATGTGGCACGATGGCTCCATGAATTCGCTTATTTCTCTTGGTAAAGAGCTCAGAGAGGGATGAAAGGATTTCTACTGCACGGAAGGAGGAGAAGGTCTTACAGCAGCAAAGGTAAAAGGCCACAGCATCACAAATGTGCAGGAGCTGGTGTCGCCTTGGCGGGGGAGAGGGAGACGCCACTGCTACCCAGGCGCAGGGCCTACGTGCCGAGGAGCTGTGGCCAGGGCTCCCGGGACTTCGACTCACACGGAATCGGACAGCCACAGGAGGAGGGGAGGCACAGAGCGTGCCAAGGAGCAGAGAAAGAAGCCTCCTCGGAACAACCGGAAGCGCTTTCCCCAAAGGCTTAGGAGAGAGCGAACTGGTCACGTGGTGGGGCCCTACATCCACATGGCAATCTGACAGCCAGCCGCAGCCACCGGGCTCACAGGCCAAGCAGCGCTGGCTGCCCTCAAACGAAGTGATATTAGGTAATCTGCTCAGCCTTTTTGTCACCTGCAACAAATTAGGCTTTCAATATGCAAAACATCTTCCTTCTAGAAAAACAAATGATCGTGATTCCACTTAATTGTAATTTAATGAGGCATAATTTATTTTTTAAAGTGATATCCACCAGGTGTGCACAGAGGCAAGCGGCCCAGACAGACCTCGAGCTTCTCTTTAGAAAAGAACCCAACAGGCTGGAGACTGTTTTCCTTCCTATAAATTGCGTTTTTCTTTATGGCCACTGAAGTGGGAGATACTCGGAAAATGTTCACTTATTTCTTTTTCACACATCTCTGGGGTAGCTCAGTCGGGAACTACTCACTTCTCACAGAGGGAACTCTAAGGTGCCGGGTTAATGCGTGCCAGGGTGGGTACCAGCCTGTCACAGGGCCCCTGAAGGGCACGCCCACACCTGCGGCCTGTCAGGCGCTAAGATCACACAGCACTGGGCCGGAAACATTTCCACT